GTGTGAAAGTCCCTTTAAGTTGATATATGGTTCCTACTCTAGAATTAGAAGGTTAACATATGAGGACTTCTTTTGGATTTTTGGCATTGACTGCTGTGAAGAACTAGCAATTCGCTGTTGTAGTAGACGTAAAAATTTCAAACCCATATAACTCGTGTTATTCGCTTTTCAGTATAAGTCCATTTAGGTCTGTCATAATTTTTCTTCAGATGCTTTTGCCGCTTTCTTTTACTTTCCTTGCAAATAAGATTTTTATGCTCCACAACTACTGATTTGAAAGTTAACATGCTAAACTATTATTTATACTAAAATCAATGACCTTTAATTTATGCATTGTATGTGATGCATGACCAATCCTTATGACACATGGACATATATTATTCTTGGAAAAGTTAACGCACGACATACATATTTAGATGTGCTATTTTCCAAATGAATCTAATGTTTCTTGGGTAGATGGGTATGTAATTTTGATGCTTGTATTACATTTTCAAACTCCAACTAACTTTTGTGAAATTGAGTCAATACGAGTGATTAAATACTATGAAGAGTTTCTGGAAGTTTAGTCGCATTCTAAAGAACAATGGACCTATAGTGTGTATAGTATCTTGAGAATTTGATATTTAGTCTTGTTCTAAACCAGATGCACTCTGATTATGATATCCATAGAGGCGGGGGTAATCTTTTAAAAACTTTTTTCAGTCCATTGGGAGTGTTTTACTACAAGTTCTATCTATTCACATGTTATAATGTTTCTGGAATCTGGAGCCTTCATTGGGTAGTTGGCCTAACTCTCTAAGAGCATCAACTCACAACTCTGGAAATAAGTTATTTTCCCCAGCAGCTTTCAGGTATGTAGCGATGTCCCTTACAAAGGCTTTTTACCTTCTACGGATTATGATGTTTGATTGCTTTTTTCCTCCCAACCTTTATTCTCCTCCACCTTCACAACTACGCTTATCAGTTTACGGTGACCCTAAGGGCAAATTAGCTCAGCCACACTAGAGGAAAACATCAATGAGAAGTCCAACCTATTCCATGATGCGATTACTCTTAAAGGTGTTGAGCTATGTTCGAAAAGTCGAGCTAAGCGGTGGCCGGGCGCCTCGATTTCCATATAATCAGCTTAAAGATGTGCAGAGGGTAGAATGATGATAAAGATTAATGCGTTTTAATGGAACTTCTGACTTGGTACTAATTAAAGTTTACAATTTGATACTCCGTATATTTTTAATGGGATAGGGGACTACTATGTTTAGTAGATCCCACATTGAGATAACACATAAAAAGCTTTCAATGCAATTTTTTCCTTCAAGTAATCAGGGTGTGAACAAATAAATTTCCAAAACCACATTTTCAAAATGCATTATTATATATAAACTATAAAAGTTAGAACTGTATAGTATCACACATTTCAATTTTTAAAAGAGCTAGCCATATGTTGAAATTAGTGTGTTGCTAATTTCAATTTTTAAAAGAGCTAGCCGTCTGTTGAAAACTTGAAATTAGTATCACACATTTCGATTTTTTAAAAGAGCTAAAAATATGTTGAAATGGTGATCTAACCATCATTTCGTTTCAGACATTGGGAGTTGGGATCTTATTGCACACTTTTTTCAGTTCTAGCAGTTTATTGCTACCTTCGAGATTTTCATTTTACCAATCCCATGTGTACATAGCTGCCAGTGGATTGTTGAAAGTTTAAGATGAGCTATTACCTGATTTGGTTCCGGGACTATATGCTATTACACGAGTTGATCATTGACTTATATTCATTTTGGTCTCGTACGTTGTGCTCCTCGCCATTTGCCAGCGCAATTTAGACTTCATTTGATGCTCCTTTATTTTTCTCTAACCTGGAAGGTTATTTGTGTGATGTATGGCTAGACTGCTAGAGGTTTCGAGATGCATATCTGTATGAGAAAATCACCTTGCAATGTGTTAATGTATGCTTCCAACCCAATTGCTATATATGTGTATGAGGCCGGGGGTAGGATAGTGAATTTCCCGATGGTTTTGGCAGTGAGTTAGCTGGTTGCCGACATGGGGCTGAAAAAAATTTAAAGAAATTTTTATACTAATATCACCCCAGTTTAGGCCAATGGAGAACAAGGCTCTCTGACAGTGTCTTTTATGTGAAATTTCGTTTTATACTAAGTTTTCTTCTCAAATTTGAGTTCATGTCATTATGATTTGAATTTTTTTTAGACATACGAAGTCATAGGAGTTTGTAAATAGGCCTAAATGAATTCTTTTAAGATGTATTATTTTGCTCTTCTTCTAGAATTGTTTTAACTTGCTCATTATAAAGGTACAACCGATTTTAGCTTTTGCTGGAACATCCTAAGCAATTAAGCATCAAGAATACTTATTACTATTCATACTCATGAGCCACTGCACTTAAACATTTTGATGATGAAAAAATAATATGTATAAAATTTGTTTGTAATTTCAAACATATCAATTATATTGACTGATAATACTTCATTCGATTAATGCTACTAAAATAGTATTGGGCATTTTCCTCCCGCGCATCGCGCGTCGGAAAACTAGTTATATATAAAGTAGCAAAGTTGCTACAAGTTTTGGAGCCAAAATTGCCGCCTAAAAGAAGGGTAAAAATGTATTTTCCCTTGAATTATATACTGCTGCACATATGATTACTATGTGCCTTAAATAATCTTAACATAAATTGAGCATTTATTGTCCATAATATGACTCATATTTTCGGTACTTATTGAATAAACTAGCCTTTTACACCACATGTGTGAAACTATGCAACAATTAATACTCTCCTTTATTTTCAATCACATTTTATGGTAAATGTACTCCGTAATAGCATTCATTATTATATATGTCATCCTTTTTTAAATTATAGAAAATACAAATAAATAGTTATCAATGCAAACAAATGATTTATTTTTCTATCATGTTAATACAAAATGATGCCGCCACGTCACTGAAAAAAATAACAACATACTACGTACATATTAACATATACGCCAGGAAATTAATTCATGACCAAACTCATTTTGGTAATGCATTGATAGCCCATTAATTATAATAAAGTGACAATGCACGTTTGAAAAAAAAAGTGACAAAGAGGAGAACGTCATTCATGAGTCCTACCAAAATAAAATCTCAATCTTTTTTTAAAATGTTATAACTTTTTTATTTGTAATCCGATTATTACAAAAAAATATTGAAATGCATAACTTTTTATTATCTTTCATTTGACACAAATATTGAATATATAAAAATAAAATACTTCGACCCTTTAAAAACATCTTTTTGTAAAGTCCTATATATTTTTTCATATGTACTCCGTTTTTTTACAAAACATTTACCAAAGTTTATAACTTTTTATTATCTTTCATGTCTTTCATATGAACCTAATGTTGCATATGTAAAAATAAAAAATTAACTCCATTAATTTGTGTTGTTTAGGATCATTTTTTACCGTACATACTATTAATCCGGAGTGATAACTTAGAATAAAACTGCAAAAACTTCACCACTTTTATTTAATGTTTTATTCTTTGCGTTAGAATTTGTGCAGTGTTTATTCTAAGCTATCACTCCAAATTAGTAGTGTGCATAGTAAAACAATTACGATCCTAAAATGCAAAAATTAATGGAATTGATTTTTTTAATTTGATATATATAATATTGATGTCATATGAAAGATAATAAAAAGTTATGAATTTTGGTATATTCTTTGTAACAATCGGAGTACGTACAAATAAAAAGTTATAGCAGTTTTCTTGCACCTTACTGTTATATTTTAAACTTACTTGCAATTTGTCATACGATCAACGTATTCCTTTTTCCTACAAACTATCGTTATAAGATACAACAAATAAACTCTACTATAGTTGCATATTACGTACCATTATAATAGAAGTTAATTTTAAAGAAGTTGTGCATCGCACAGGTATTGCGTCTAATTCCATATAATATCAGGAAGTTATTTCTACCTTGCAAATTGTGGTATAGAGTATAGACTATACGCTAAGTTCGTGTAATAATTTTCTATAGTACAAATGCATAAAGAAGTTTCAATGTTATGTTTAGGGAATATTTTTATCAATTTTGCTATAGGTATCCCAAACATACCCCAATTTTTACCCCATATAAAAACCCTCCCCCACTTTCCTTCTTCCCTTCCACTCTCCCCCACTTTTCCTCTCCCCTCCCTCCCTCTCTCCTGCACCCACCTCTCTTCCTCACTCTCCTCTATTTCACGCACCCCCCTCCCTTCCCCTTTCTTCTCCATTTTAATATCTTTCTCCTTCCTTAAGACTTCCAATTTTTACCATCTTTCCCCCATCCAACCTTCCATCTTCTCCTGCTTATCTCCTCTCCACCGGTGACGTTGTCGACGGCGGCCCTACGCCGGTTGCCGACAGCCGGCCTATGCCGGTTGCCATTTCGGATGCAACCTCAAGGGAAGACAACAATGAAGACAAATCAAGAAGCTTTGAATAACTTGAGTAGCAGATTCTTTTCTTGATTTTGTTTTCTTGATTTTTGATGTATTTTCGAAATAAAAAATGTTGACTGTCTGACAGACAACTTGTAAGTGCAGTGTCTGTAAGAGTCGTGAAGTTGTCTGTCATTTGAAATATAATGTCTGTAATTATATTTAATTGTTTGTCATTTGTTTATTAGTTGTTTGTATTTGTATTTGTCTGTAAAAATCGTGAAGTTATCTATAACTGATATTTAGTTGTTTGTCATTTCATTTTGAGTTGTATGAAATTTGTGGTGAAAAATAATGTATGTCTGGTTATCTCTATTGGCTGTCTAGTAATACGTATTGTCTGTCTTTTTTATGAAACATATGTCAATATGGTAATTCACAATAAAGTAATGTTTGTATGTGTATATTTAATGTCTGTCTCGTTAGACTAATTACATCTCAATCAAATAAAGTAATTACATACAGCTCATAATCAAATACAGACAAATCAAAAACAAATACAGACAACTCAAAACAAATGACAACCAATTAACCATCAATTACAAACAGACAGACAATTTTACGACTCTTACAGATTCCTCACAACAACATGACAGACAACTCAAAAAATATAGACAACTTACAAGCAAATGACAGAAAATTAAATATCAATTACAGACATTTATTTTTCAAATGACAGACAACTTCACGAGTCTTACTAACAAATATAGACACTGCACTTACAAGTTGTCTGTCAGACAGACATCCCTTTTTATTTTGAAAACACACCCAAAAAAACAAGAAAACAAAATCAAGAACAAAAAAATCAAGAAAATAAGATCTACTCTCAAGTCATTTAAAACTTTTTGGTCTACACCTTTGTCGTTCCTTCTTGTTCACCTAGCTCTCCCCATTCGTCCTATTATTGTAGCTCCGATCCGCCATTTGAAACGGAAAAAAAGGCGGAAGAGGAGAGAAGTAGGAGAAGAAGGTTGCAGGAGGAAAAGATATATGGTAAAAATGAGAAACATTAAAGAAAGGGAGAGATCTTGAAATGGAGAGAAGTAAAAGAGAAAAAGGAGGGGATGGGCTACGTGAAAGGAGCGAAGAACCAGGAGAGAGGGGGGGAAGAAAAGTGGGGAGGGAGGAGGGAGGAGAAAAGTGGGGAGGGTATTTATATGGGGTAAAAATGGGGTAACTTTTGAGGTACCTATAACAATTTTGATATTTTTATTCGTGATGCATAGGTGCTTGGGATTTGAGATTCCGCTTAAGCTAGCGACCCATCATCGTAGGCTACAAGATCATCTCAAAATTTTCTTTCATAGGTAGTACTTTTCTCTTTTTCATTTATAATGATGAAAAGATTTTCTTAATTCTAAATCTTTTCATTATATGTATACATTCAATAATTTTGTAAACGATATACTCGTACAACTACTTTTTAGATTTATTATCCATTCAAATATACTATTTCATTCTCTGATCTTCTTATCATAAATTCAATAATTCAATAATTTATATCATAATCTACCTTCTTTCAAAGTGGGTAGATCTTTTTATTATGGACCGAGTACTTGACCTACGTGCATTATTGTTTTCTTTAAGAGTGACTAATTTCCTTAAAATAATATTTTTATTTTTATGTCGGTATGTGCACCAAGGGACAATCAACTAGCTTGAGAGTTTTGTTCAATAAGATATTTAAGATCGAGAAAATGTTATATACTCACTTGGCCCCACATGACCTTCTTTCAAGTAGAATAATAAAATAAAATTGTGTCATTAAAACTTGTTCATACAAGTGAGAAATTATTTTAATCGTACATTTATTACTTTAAATACTAATGACGAGGTTTATTGGGATGGCTAATTAAATATGAGAGTTGACAAAGTCTTACCACGAGGTGGGAATATAATTGACCTCTCGAGCATATAGTGACCTTTTATTATTGAACTAGCGTTTTGTCGCGTAAGGCGCGAAAGCTTTTGCCCAATGTCAATTTTTTGTTTTGTTTTGTAAATAACAATTATATGTGAGTTTATGAGAGTTTTTTTTAATTGGTCTGCGAAATTGTTCTTTTTTGTAAATAATCGGATCAATTATATTTTTAGTCCACCAGCTATTGTGTGGAAAATTGCCTATATTTTGTAAATATAAGTCATTCTATGAATTGACTATATTTTTCATTTAAGTATATGAAATAGTTGAAATTAAATGACAATATGTTTTTTTTTGCGAAGTGAAATGACAATATGTTTTTATATGGCCCAGGAACCCTTGGCCCATAGACTCCTACTTTCCCCACGAAGGCCCATTGAGCCCAAAGAGCATCTGAGGCCCAAATACAGCGGCCCAAGTCTCAAAGAAGCCCAAAGTACACACTGGGGTGCCTTCGGCCTCCTCGGCCGAAGGCTCCAAAACTCGCAGGATGGCCTTTTTTGGGCATACGAAGCTACTGCGAGAAAACGGCAGAAAACAGTAGCCTTCGGCACTGTTGAGCCCTCGGCACCAGAGAAGCCTTCGGTTGAACCAAGCTTTCGGCTACACAGAGCCCTCGGCCCCATAAAGAGCCCTCGGCTAAACAGACTCAACCATCGAAGATTCCCTTTGGAGATAGCCAACCACCGCATTTAATGCGACGTCACATCCACCCACCGCATTCAATGCGGTGAATATGCCGCTGCCGGTGCCACCCCGGTTGATGTGACCCCTCGGCCGTTGGATTACTGACACGTGTCCTCTCATCGCATTTATTGCTGCTATAAATAGCAGCCCATTTCTCCTTGTAAACAATCCGAGATCCACATCTCAACACTCTGAGTTCATTTAATAAAATCGACTCTCTCTCCTCCTATTTTGCTCTGACTTCTCTCTAAGTTATTCCCGCAATAACCCTTCGGATAAGATACCCCCCGGGTAGACTATCTGATATTCATGTAATTTCTGATTGTATGTTTGTATTTTTAACTAGTTTTTATTAGTTCTAGTTGTGGAAATTACACACTTTTGGTGTAATATTTTGTTTTCATTTTTATTTGTAATTTGTTTAGATTAGGATTATTTTGAGCTAAACAGGTCAAAGATCATCCAAGGGATCAAAATTGGACCTTAAAAGATCAAGGAAAGTGCAAGGAGACAAGAAAGATTTCGATTTGGAAAAAATACAAATGTACCCGGTCGGGTATTGCCTATACCCGATCGGGTATTCACTTGATTCGATTGTCCAAATCAAATCCGGGAAAGATTTGTCACATACCCGATCGGGTATTCCGACATACCCGATCGGGTATGCCCAGAAAAGTGACTTTCTGGGCAATTTCCTAAGATACCCGATCGGGTATCCTATATACCCGATCGGGTATCAGACCCTGCAGCTCCCAAAAGCCTATAAATACACCCCTTTCCTTCACAATAAAATCACCAATTCCTATATACTTCTAAGCTCAGTTTAGTTAAGTACTTTCTTTATATTTTTATCATGTTTATTCTCCAAATGAGGAGCTAAACTCTTCCATCTTGGTTTTGCTACTTTGAAGCTTAATGATTTGTAAGTTGTGAGTTATTTTCTTTAATCTTCTTCCTTGAAAATTAATTACTTCCTATTCATATCCCATATTAATATATTGAGCATTACTTAAAGTATCAACTAGTCTTGTTCTATATATTAGTTATTACTAGAATCAATCGGTTAATACGCTTGTTATTAATTCGGTTTTTTCAATGGTAGTAAACTTGGATTACTAATGCATGCTTCTCATGGTTAATAATCTAAGGGGAATTATTTATATTGATTAAACCAATAAACCGCTTGTGTTGAGGTTATCAATCTCAATCGTTTTCATCTCGATTTTACTGCTACTATCAAGTTAATATACGGCGCTTGTTCTATATTGACTCGGTAGTAAGTTTTATTAATGAACGCTTCTCGTTATTAATAACTACCCTCGATGAACTGGATATACTCCTCGATTGAGTATTCGAGAGGAAGATAGTTAAAGATATAACCGGGATCGACGAACATTTCATTAAGTGGATAAAAGCAAAGCCAAGTCTTCTTCTCATTAATTAAATCACTCAAACCTGAACCCCCCCTTTTGTTACTAGTTAATTAAAAAGAGAAATATTCCTTTCCCTGTAGATACGAACCTTACTTCATTATACTACGTATAATTGTTGTATTGAATATTATTTTGAGTGCACACCACGACAAAGTGCACGTCAAATTTGGTGTCGTTGCCGGGGAAAGGAAATTATTTTTCTTTTTATTTTATCTTTTAAAAAATCAAAAACAAAAACAAAATAAAAAAAATATAAATAAAAATCTTACTTTTCTATTTTCTGAGCTTTCATGAGTATATGGATACCAACACATCATCCCTAGAGAGTCAAATTTCCGACTTGACTTCTCTGATAAAGGAGTTTATTTCATGTTCTCAAGATGTCCATACATGCAACATTTGCATGTCACACAGACATCTTACGGATTTTTGCCCAGAGCTTCAAAAAGAATACTTTGAACAAAGGAATGATGTTGGTTTCCAAGAGAGGTATGGTTCATTCTCCAACACATATAACTCATACTCAAGTTCTTATTCCAGCATGTCCACTGAAGACATGATCCGAGCTCTCACTATCAATGTGACAAATATGCAACAAAATATGTCACAATGCCCACAAGAAACAGTGTCCAACGAACAGAACATGGACAATCAGTTGAAACAAATGCCAAACATTGTGAACCACATGGGCGAGGAGGAGGAAGAAGGGGAGCTTACGGAGAAAGCTCAACCGGAGGAGGAACCTCAAAACTCAACTCAACCACCGGTCATTCCTGATATCATGCCACCATTTCCTGAGGCTCTAAGGGAAACACAAAGGGTGGAGGACAAAGATATCTATGAAATCTTCAGCAATTATGAGTATAATTTAGACTTCTCTTTGTTCACAAATAAGCAAGGAATAATGGTGGAGTTACACAAATATCTCATACTCCCTCTTATACCACCCGGATCAAAACCCTTTCCATTGACCATGCTTAGTGAAAATCATGGACCCTCACTCCATGAAGCGATAGAAATCCGGATATTTGATCCCGGAAAGATTTTCAAAATAAAGGGTCAAAAAATTGAGTCTTTCTACAAGAGTCATCCGGGTGAAAATTTGAAGAAAATGAGTTATCACGATCCAAGCTTGAACGATTGAACACAATGATGGCGTCGTGCCGCGACGTTAACTAAGGCGCTTCTTGGGAGGCAACCCATGCTAAGGTACGCATTTTTCATCTTTTTTTGTTTTTTTTTGTTTGTTTTTGAATGTCAACTTCGAGAAAATTGGGATACTTCTCAAATAAAAGGGGGAGTAAATAATTTTTTTTTTGAAAGGTTGGGGAAACCTCCGATCGATCATCATCACTTACCCGATCAGATCCATGCCAAAAAGATTAAAAAAAATGGACAAAATCACGCCCGAGTGTAGTGTACCCGATCGGGCTCCACTACTCCACCCGATCGGGTACATATGAAAAAGGCAGAGTTGTGGCAAGAAATCCCACACCCGATCGCGCTTGGGACTGAAAACAAGGTCAAGACCCGATCGGGTACACCTATAACCCGGTCGGGTCTAATTCATGAAAATAAAATCATTTCCTACGACGCGATTCACCCGATCGAGTATCCACAACACCCGATCGGGTACGAACCCCTGGAATGAGTTTTTAAAAATAAACGAAATACCTGGTCGGGTATTCAAACCACCCGATCGGGTACTTGAGCTTGTTACCCCAAATCAGACCCAATTCAAGCCACTTCTTCCCCCAACCCCAATGTCCGATTTCTCTCTCCCAAACCCACCATTTTTTTTTACCTTTTCCTTCCATATCTCCATCATCACTCAACCAAATTCCCTCAACCCACCACCAAACACTTCCCTCACTCTCCTCTCCACATCGTACCCACCAATTACACCATCTCTCCCCCTCCCCAAAAATCCGAAACCCTACCCCAA